ATGTAATATACGTAATATATAAACAAAATTTTAAATCAAATTATTTTAATAAAATATAATTTATTAAAATAAAAATATTTTATTATTATTAATATATATATATATATATATATATATATATATAAATAAAAATATTTAATAATATTACATTAGGATTAAAAGTTAATATATTAATATATAAAGAGAAATACATCATATTAGATTAGATCAAATAAATTTAATGTTTATATATATATATATAAAATGTAATTTAAATGCATATAATTATTATTATTGATTGATATTTTATTTAATACAATTACATTTTAATTTATAAATAATAAATGAGCAGGTATTCGGTGTGAAAGCAGAGCGGCGGGTCTTACTTGCTGCTGAAGGCCACAGCAATTGTCTCAATGGCTTTCTCAAAGTCTTTCTTCTGAGCGTCAGTGGTGCCTTCATAACTGAACCCTGACAAACACAGAGAAGAGAACAACTTCACGGTCACAAACCCACGCTTCTGCTTTGATAACAAATAAAACTAGAAGTGACATCACATTTAGATGCAAAAGTGGAAACACCTGTATTTCAGTTGTGCATGTTTGCATATTATACATGTTTTTCCTTCATAAGATCAGATGCTGGTTGTGTGGTATCTGCTCATATCAGATGTGGCTTTGCTCATCTGATGCTTGCGCCGAGTTATTTGCTTCATGTCATTGCATACATAGGTGAGAGTGTGAGGAAGATGAACCAATGACAGGATTTGAAGAAGATGAGTTTATCATGGCAGTTGAACTGACCTTTGACCTTTGAGATAAGAGTTCCTGCTGCGGTGAGCGTTTCCACAGTGTTCAGCAGAGGGTACGTGCTGATTACCTGCCGCAAAACACGCAGAACCTCCCCTAAACACTCGTGAACGGCCTGCCTGCTGCATGGCTCCTCTTTCACTGCAGAGACATGAGAAAACGTCCTGATTCATTCATTTAGGGAGACATCTGGAAGCATTTGGACATGGGAGTTTATTTACTGTTTCAAACAAATAACTTGCTTTTTAAAATTTTTTATAAAATGCAATGCATTCACATCAGTTTAAATGTGTATTAAGTGTCCAGATACTCTGTAAATCACTCCAGAACAGCTCTAACACTGTTCGGAAGCAGTTCTGCCTCTTACTTTCACCAAAACATGTCAGTTATTTGTCCACTTCCTACCCACCCAGTCCCACAATGCACTTCATTCTGCTTATTACCACAAGAGGAAACTTACAGCCACACACATGCACTGATACTACGTGTGTGATAATACGGTCATCTAATGAGTTCATCGGGTTTATCAGATGAAAATGTTCACTGCAATTATTTATGTTTCACTTTTTGACAAACTCAAGCCATGGTCTACAAATTAAATGTTTTAATAAATGCATAAATCACAGATCTAGATGAACAACTAGTTGCCACAGTTTGTGAAGTACTGAATCTTAGAAAAATAATCATAGTGAGCAACTTCTCATTAATGAGTGAATGTGAAAAACTTTCAAAGTTTTGAAGGTAACCATGATTTTACAGCATTTACCCCTTTTTGAATAATTAAAAAATTAAGAAATCTTTTTTTTTTTACTTTTTATTCAACAAAGGATCCTGAAAAAAAAGTATCACATGTTCCAAAAAATATTAAGCACAACTGATAATAAATCAGCATATTAGAATGATTTTTGAAGGATCATGTGACACAGAAGACTGGAGTAATGATGCAGAAAATTCAGACTTGCATTACTGGAATAAATTATATTTTAAAGTATATTCAAATAGAAAACTATTATTTTAAATTGCAATAATATTTCACAATTTTACTGTTTTTTTCTGTATTTTTGATCAAATAAACACAGCAAAAGAAATCCTATATGAATGTATCATTGTATGAAATTTATCAGAATTATTCTTTGGAATGAATGGAAATTCTCGTGATTGCTCAAAAACAGTCCAAATTTATGAAACCTACATATTTATTTCTTAGAAAACTTACTCTGAATTTCACTTGCATAAAATTTAACTTTCAGATGAAAAAAGTGAGTAATTTTTCATGCTGCAGTAGTTGGTCAACAGGCGTACATTTTCATGTTTATCAACAAAATTCAGTCCCAAAAGTGTATGAGATATGGGGAAAAAGCTAAATATATTTAGCAAAAGTTTTTAACACTAATATAATGTCATAGTAGGGCTGGGCGATATGGCCCAAAAAATTATCACAATATTTTTTTCATATCAGTCGATATCGATAATTATCACGATAAATGTCAAATCTTTATTTCTTTCAAGTTTAAAGCCAGATTTTTGCTCCAAAGTGAAAGTTGTAGAAACCAGACCATTAATTTTCCTTAACAAAATAAATATCTAAATAGAAAAATGTATTTCTTAGTTTCTGCATTTTCTAATGAGTGATATTGTTTCAATTCAAATCAAGAAACAGGTTTGGGTTGCCTGATAATATTAATAAAATCTCTTTTTGTCTCTTAGAAATGCACTTTTTTTGTCTCTTAGAAATGCACATTTGATAGTAGCTTGAGGTAGGATGCAGAGGCAAATTTTTGTTCATTATCAAAATCAGTAACATCGGTAAAAATTGTAGCAACCTCAGTTTTATATGGTTAAATTTATTCTGACCAAGTTTTTTTTTTTTCAATTAAGCATTGGTCTCCTATAGTAGCATACATTTAAATCATGACAATCACAGTTAAAAACACACATATAGCACCTCAATACCATGGTAAAAATATAACTATATGGTTTTTAGGTAGCCTGTGTGAAAAACAGTAGTCTAAAATCATTCAGTATAAATGCACACATGCTATATCTTAATCACAAATACATACTATAATTATATACCATATATAAAATTATTACTCCTGTAATAAAATTCAGTGTGAATATCCCAAATTTCTGCCACAATACCATGGTGCAGTGAGTGTTACTACAGTAAATCCATGGTAAATGATGGCGATGTGTAGATTGAAAAGCCTTCTGACTGTCTCATTGCACACAGTGTTTCTCCTCTTTGGCTTTAAACTAGTTTAAATCACCGAGTCATTTGTGTTCACCGCTGAATTCAAGCGCTTCACATTGGATCTCACAGCGCTGTTTGACCGAGACTCATCAGCGAGTAACGCATCTGCTCTAGTGAACTCGCCTTGCGCCGCTGTTTGAACTTTGAGCCGAGCAGATAAACGAGTGGCCACGCTTCAAATGACTAGCGCTCTTTCATTCCGCCTTTGCCTCATAAACATTATATTGAACATTTATCAACCTCTTGTTATCGTTTTTCGAGGAAATTTATATCGCGCGATAATTATCGGTATCGATTTATCACCCAGCCCTAATTCAGGGATATCAAAAGAAAAATTTTCTCAGAAAAGAATATTACAATCCAATAAAATAGGATTAGATTTTTTGTGATTAAAATGAATAATTTGCTGGAATGTTAACTATTGGACTGGTGTGAGCTGATTTTTACCTCCTCCGTCTGGTTTGAGGCCTCCTGCAAGCATTCTGATGAACGTGGTTTTCCCAGTTCCTGAAAGAGGAAACCTCGTTTAGTGGACAATAAATGAAGTCACAATCACCACCGCTTCCTTTAACACGGAGCAGCATCTCACCGTTCTCTCCCAGCATGACCATGATCTCAGAGTCGTGAACTCTCCTTCCGTGATGCCGAGCGTGAAATCGCCCATGCTCTTCTTCATGTTGGGGTACTGATAGC